TTTCTGTGAAACTTCCTTTTGCTCATTTGTCACCCTCAACAATTCCTTGCTCAGGGAGGTGGTCTACAGAAAAATCAGGAATGGTCATTCCTAACACATCATAATTACAAGGCGAGCCGTCCCAGCCCCACGGTTCCTGTGATTTTAATGGCCAACACCTTTTATCGCAGTGTGCCTACTCCTGCAAAAAAGAAAAAACCATCACTAATCCCCTATAACAATGAGAGTTGCCACCAGCCACCCCATACTTATTTGGGGCCTTCTCAGGATTTCGATATACTATGTCTGGCGTTTACCATAAATATTGATTGTTTAATATTCCCAAGCAATGGAAACTAACCAATAAAAATCACATCTGGAAAATTAAAAGTGACTGGTGGAATGGGAATCTCTCCTCCTTGTCAAATTTCAATTTCAAATTAAATTGGGGCCTTCAGCACTAAGTCAGGGACCCCTGACCCCTGAGTAATTACTTTCTACCATCATTTTCTTTAATTTGGAGGAGATATTTCTATTCTAGGAATTGCTGGGAAGGCTCATTTTATGAAGATGAAGCTATGTCTTAAGGAAAACCTGCTGGTTTCTTCCTTCTATTTCAGGCACATTCCTGCTCCTAGTGCAGTGTGCTTGCCACAGGCCTCTGGCACTCCCCACTCAGCACTCTCGCGTTGTAATTACACCAGCAATCTCCAGAGTTATTGAGACTAATGACACAGCTCGCAACTTACAACCCTTGCAAAGCTCTGGGATGAGCCCAGGGAAAATCTGAAGCCGCAATTCCTTACTCCCTAAAATGTGGGTTCCCACTATTTAGAAAACACATTTGTTGAAGAAGGAAAAGCAATCTGAGGGGAAATCATATACAAAAATATGAAGGTATGAAATAACATTGCAGTATTTCATTCACTCCCTCATTAGTTCCTTCATTTGCTCAACAAACATTAATTGAGTACCTACTGTTTGCCAAGTATTCTTTTGCGGGTTGAGGATAAATGAATTAGCAAAACATGGTTCCTGCCCTTAGAGGATCTACAGAATGCAGGGGGTTGAGGAAGCAAAAAACCAGAAAATCACCTTACAATGTACTAGGCACAAAGAGCACAAGGATCTGGCCCTGCCCAGGGGTTCTGAGAGTGCAGTGGTAAGGGAGTGGGGCAGGGGGTTTTGTCCAGCCCCCAGTGGGGAAGGAGTGAGGCCAGATGTGCTGAAAACAGTAGGACTCGGTGGGCGATTGGAAGTGGCAGGCCGGTGAGTAAGAGGGAGGGGCCAAGGATACCTTGGCCATCAACTGGGCTCCTGAATTCAGGTGGAGTGTGGCGTGGGCTTCAGGGAGCTGGCGGTGAGTTGAGTTTTGGGCACAGTGCATCTGAGATACCTGAGGGATGTCCCAGCAGAAGAGGTCTGATTTTCTTTATGACACAGACCATGTTAACTCATTTCTGAGTGTTTGTGCTGAGTGTATAATATGTTCTCAATAAATGTTGCGTGAACAAATAAATGCATTTGTGTAACACATATGTGTAAGAAGCGTATGTGCAAATGTTTCTCCTGCATTAAATGATTTAATTCTCACAGCGACTCTATGAGAAAGATCTATTATTATTCCCATTTTATGCCATAGATAGGTGCAAGCCTTGAAAAGTCTTATGGTTTAAAAGAGGAGCTATGACAAGTTCATGGATAAAAATGACTCAAAAAGAAAAAAGAGGCAGAGCCCAGGAAAAGGTGTTCAACGTCATTAGCCATCGGGTAAATGGAAATTTAAACCACAGTGAGATACCTCTAGAATTGTCGTAGTCCAAAGGACTTACAATACTTTGGTGGGGATGAGGATAAACAAGCCCCCATACACTGCTGGTGGGAGTGCGGAATGCACAGACACTGTGGAACATAGTTTGGCAGTTTCTTATAAAGTTAAACATACATTTCCCATATGCCCCAGCAACTCCGGTGCTGGATATCTACCCACGAGAAACTGAAACATGTTTATACAAAGCTTGTATGTGAATGTTCATAGCAGCATTATTCACAAAAGCCAAAAGTTGCAAACAATGCAAATATACATCAACTAGTGAATGGATGAACAAAATATGACGTATTCATATAATGTAATATTATTCAGCAAAAAAGGCAGGAAGTATGAATACATCCTAAAATATGGATGGACCTCAAAAATATTATGCTGAAAGAAGCCAGCCACAAATGACCTCGAATTTTATGATTTTATTTATATAAAATTTCCAGAAAAGGTAAACCTATAGAGATGGGCGGTTGCTGAGAGGCTGGGGGTGGGATGGGAGCAACTACAAGTGGAACTTCTGGGGAAACAAGTGCTCTAAATTGAATTACAGTAATGGCTACACAACTGCATAAAATTACTGAAACTCATCAAACTGAATACTTTCAATGGTTA